CCTCTCTGCCTCTGATACAGAGCCCTCATCCGAGCCTTCCCCAGACTCCAGGACTGGCCCATCTTCCTCCCCAACCTCCTCTCACTGTCCGAATCTGCTGCCAGCTCCGATGGCCACTGGCGGGCCACCCCCCTTCATCCTCCTTTGGGGAGGGAGGACCGTGGGGGGGATCAACCACCTCTCCTCCCCCTGAAATCCAGGCTGAAGTGTGCCAACTAAGCCCTGGCAGCTGGACAGAGCCATCTGTGGGAGGTGGGCACAGAGAGGGACCACTTCTTTGTGGGTTTGAGCACGTACCGAGGAATCCCTTGTCTGGTGGGTTGGGGGGCTGGCGTTGGGCTTTCTCAACCAGAGAGTCAAGATCTTCCACCCCAGGCAGGGAGTTGGCGGTCTGCCGATCCCCGGAGCAGAAGAGACGGATGGATTTCTCCAGGGAGGGCTGGACATCCCGCAAGGCTAGGAGAAGAGAGGGAAAAGAAGAGAATTGTGGTCAGCTTGTGTGGTTACGTTCGGGAGCACGTGGGGGCGCCTCGGGAGGTTTCTTCTCCGAACAACGACCCTGTAAGGTGGGCTGGGGGAAGGAGGAGCAGCTGGCTCCAAGGAGCTGAGCCATTGCAGATCGCAAACCACCCTTGCCCTTTTAAACTGAATGTTTCTGTTCTTGTGACTGCGGTCATCCTAGTTAAGGAAACAGACTCCAGATAAAACAAACCAGAGCTTAGTGCAAACCACCATCATTGCAGCTCCTTCAGGAGGCCTGGTTTGAAGACAACCATGACCGAGTCCTTGTAAAAGTTAAGAGTTGGAAGGGGCCTTGTAGTTCATCTAGTCCAACATCTAGCCCAAGCAGGAGATCCTACATCATTTTTGACATATGGCAATGCAGTCTCTTCTTGAAAGCCTCCAGGGATGAAGCTCCCACAACCTCCTGTTCTGTTTCATGGGTTGATTGTTCTCACATCAGAAAATCCCTCCTTATTTCCAGGTTGAATCTCGCCTTGGTCAGTTTCCATCCATTATTCCTTGTCTGGCATTCAGGGTCTTTGGAGAATAGCTCGCCCCCCTCCTCTCTGTGGCAGCCCCTCAAATATTGGAACATGCTCTCCTGTCTCCCCTGGTCCTTCTCTTCACTCGACCAGCCATGCCCAGTTCCTGCCACCCTTCTTCATATGTTTTAGCCTCCAGTCCTCTAATCATCCTGGTTGCTCTTCTCTGCCCTCTTTCTAGAGTCTCAATGTCCTTTACAAATTAACAGAGTTGGAAGGGGCCTTGTAGATCATCTAATCCAACCCCACACCCAAGCAGAAGACCCTACACCCACAACTTCAGGGATGAAGCTCCCACAACCTCCTGTTCTGTTTCATGGGTTGATTGTTCTCACAGTCAGAAAATTCCTCCTTATTTCCATGTCAAATCTCTCCTTGGTCAGTTTCCATCCATTATTCCTTGTCTGGCATTCGG